CCCCTTCTTTCCCAGCCCCCTAAGCAGCCTGGGCCCCCCATTCCCGGACCCCCAAGTGTGCCCAGGGGGCTGGGCCCCCCATTCCTGGACCCCCAAGTGGGCCCAGGGGGCTGGGCCCCCCATTCCTGGACCCCCAAGTGGGCCCAAGGGGCTGGGGCCCCCCCTTCCCAGACCCCCAAGCAGGCCCAGGCGCCTGCCCCCGCAGGCCACATCCAGCACGACTCCTCGGGAACGAACCACATGCCTTTAATCAGCTTTTTTCAGCCCAAAAATCCCACCGGAGCCGCAGGAGCGAAGGCGGCCGGAAAAGGCCAGGAAACAGAGTGATCTGAGGGGAAAAACACGCCGGAAATGGGTCATTCCGCAGGAAAATGCCACAAATGGGGCGATGGAAGCAGCCGGGGGAAAAAAAGGGGAAAACTGCTGGAAAAAATGCTGGAAATGAATCAAAAGCGCAGGAAAAAATGCTGGAAATTGTTTGTTCTATGGCAAAGTCCTGGAAATGGCTCAGTCTTAGCGGAAAATAGTGGAAATCGGTCGTTTCTTGGAGAAAACGTCGGGAATGGCTCAAATCTGCAGGAAACAGGTTGGTTCCACAGGAAAATGCTGGAAATTTGTTGGGTTTTGAGGAAAGGGCTGGAAAAGGGTTGGCTCTGCAGGAAAAGTGCTGGAAAACGGTCGTTTCACAGGAAAATGCAGGATATTGTTCAATCCCGGGGGGAGAACCAGCCAGATGTGGATTGATTCTAGGGGAAAACGCTGGAAATCGATCGTTTCCTGGGGGAAATTCTGGAAAATGGGTTGGATATGTGGGGAAAAATACTGGGAAATTGGTCATTTCTGGGGGAAATTCTGGAAAATGGGTTGGATATGTGGGGAAAAATACTGGGAAATTGGTCATTTCTGGGGGAAATTCTGGAAAATGAGTTGGATATGTGGGGAAAAATACTGGGAAATTGGTCATTTCTGGGGGAAATTCTGGAAAACGGGTTGGATATGTGGGGAAAAATACTGGGAAATTGGTCATTTCTGGGGGAAATTCTGGAAAATGAGTTGGATATGTGGGGAAAAATACTGGGAAATTGGTCATTTCTGGGGGAAATTCTGGAAAATGGGTCGGATAGGCAGGAAAAATGCCAGGAAATTTGTCGTTTCCTGGGGGAAAGTATTGAAAATGAATCGGATATGTGGGGAAAAATGCTGGGAAATCAGTCATTTCCTGGCGGAAAGTCTGGAAAATGGGTTGGATAGGTGGGAAAAATGCTGGAAATGGGTTGTTCTGCAGAAAAATTCTGGGAACGGGTGAGAGGTGGGAGGGGAAAACGTTAGAACCAGGAAAAATAATGCTGGAAATGGGTGAAATCGGCAGGAAACCCTGGGAAAGTGGGTTGGATCTGCGGGAAATACGCTGGAAATGGGTCGGATGCGCCGGAAAACTGCTGGAACTGGGTGGGATGCGCCGGTAACGGATCCGTCCTGGGGGGGCACCCACTGTCACTTCTCCCAGGTGCAGCCCTCGGCGCTGTGGCTCTGCGGCCTCTCCCCTTCCTGGGAGTGGAAAAGGAACCGTGCCGGGGGGTGAAATGAGGGCAAAATGGGGCAAAAATGGGCAGAAAAGGGGCAGAGGTGTTGGTGGTTCTTTTGCCAGACCCCTCAAGCACCCTGGGGGGACCCAGGCAGCCTCCCCCGTGCCACCCCTGGCCCCCACCTCCTTTTGGTGGCAACCAGAGGATGCAGGCGTTCGGGTGCCCACCCAGCACCCCACAAAGACCCCAGAATTTGGGTGCCCACCCAGCACCCCGCAGAGACCCGGGAATTCGGGTGCCCACCCAGCACCCCACAGAGACCCAGGAATTCGGGTGCTCGCTCAGCACCCCACGGAGACCCGGGAATTCGGGTGCTCGCTCAGCACCCCACGGAGACCCGGGAATTCGGGTGCTCGCTCAGCACCCCACGGAGACCCGGGAATTCGGGTGCTCGCTCAGCACCCCACGGAGACCCGGGAATTCGGGTGCTCGCTCAGCACCCCACGGAGACCCGGGAATTCGGGTGCTCGCTCAGCACCCCACGGAGACCCGGGAATTCGGGTGCTCGCTCAGCACCCCACGGAGACCCGGGAATTCGGGTGCTCGCTCAGCACCCCACGGAGACCCGGGAATTCGGGTGCTCGCTCAGCACCCCACGGAGACCCGGGAATTCGGGTGCTCGCTCAGCACCCCACGGAGACCCGGGAATTCGGGTGCTCGCTCAGCACCCCACGGAGACCCGGGAATTCGGGTGCTCGCTCAGCACCCCACGGAGACCCGGGAATTCGGGTGCTCGCTCAGCACCCCACGGAGACCCGGGAATTCGGGTGCTCGCTCAGCACCCCACGGAGACCCGGGAATTCGGGTGCTCGCTCAGCACCCCACGGAGACCCGGGAATTCGGGTGCTCGCTCAGCACCCCACGGAGACCCGGGAATTCGGGTGCTCGCTCAGCACCCCACGGAGACCCGGGAATTCGGGTGCTCGCTCAGCACCCCACGGAGACCCGGGAATTCGGGTGCTCGCTCAGCACCCCACGGAGACCCGGGAATTCGGGTGCTCGCTCAGCACCCCACGGAGACCCGGGAATTCGGGTGCTCGCTCAGCACCCCACGGAGACCCGGGAATTCGGGTGCTCGCTCAGCACCCCACGGAGACCCGGGAATTCGGGTGCTCGCTCAGCACCCCACGGAGACCCGGGAATTCGGGTGCTCGCTCAGCACCCCACGGAGACCCGGGAATTCGGGTGCTCGCTCAGCACCCCACGGAGACCCGGGAATTCGGGTGCTCGCTCAGCACCCCACGGAGACCCGGGAATTCGGGTGCTCGCTCAGCACCCCACGGAGACCCGGGAATTCGGGTGCTCGCTCAGCACCCCACGGAGACCCGGGAATTCGGGTGCTCGCTCAGCACCCCACGGAGACCCGGGAATTCGGGTGCTCGCTCAGCACCCCACGGAGACCCGGGAATTCGGGTGCTCGCTCAGCACCCCACGGAGACCCGGGAATTCGGGTGCTCGCTCAGCACCCCACGGAGACCCGGGAATTCGGGTGCTCGCTCAGCACCCCACGGAGACCCGGGAATTCGGGTGCTCGCTCAGCACCCCACGGAGACCCGGGAATTCGGGTGCTCGCTCAGCACCCCACGGAGACCCGGGAATTCGGGTGCTCGCTCAGCACCCCACGGAGACCCGGGAATTCGGGTGCTCGCTCAGCACCCCACGGAGACCCGGGAATTCGGGTGCTCGCTCAGCACCCCACGGAGACCCGGGAATTCGGGTGCTCGCTCAGCACCCCACGGAGACCCGGGAATTCGGGTGCTCGCTCAGCACCCCACGGAGACCCGGGAATTCGGGTGCTCGCTCAGCACCCCACGGAGACCCGGGAATTCGGGTGCTCGCTCAGCACCCCACGGAGACCCGGGAATTCGGGTGCTCGCTCAGCACCCCACGGAGACCCGGGAATTCGGGTGCTCGCTCAGCACCCCACGGAGACCCGGGAATTCGGGTGCTCGCTCAGCACCCCACGGAGACCCGGGAATTCGGGTGCTCGCTCAGCACCCCACGGAGACCCGGGAATTCGGGTGCTCGCTCAGCACCCCACGGAGACCCGGGAATTCGGGTGCTCGCTCAGCACCCCACGGAGACCCGGGAATTCGGGTGCTCGCTCAGCACCCCACGGAGACCCGGGAATTCGGGTGCTCGCTCAGCACCCCACGGAGACCCGGGAATTCGGGTGCTCGCTCAGCACCCCACGGAGACCCGGGAATTCGGGTGCTCGCTCAGCACCCCACGGAGACCCGGGAATTCGGGTGCTCGCTCAGCACCCCACGGAGACCCGGGAATTCGGGTGCTCGCTCAGCACCCCACGGAGACCCGGGAATTCGGGTGCTCGCTCAGCACCCCACGGAGACCCGGGAATTCGGGTGCTCGCTCAGCACCCCACGGAGACCCGGGAATTCGGGTGCTCGCTCAGCACCCCACGGAGACCCGGGAATTCGGGTGCTCGCTCAGCACCCCACGGAGACCCGGGAATTCGGGTGCTCGCTCAGCACCCCACGGAGACCCGGGAATTCGGGTGCTCGCTCAGCACCCCACGGAGACCCGGGAATTCGGGTGCTCGCTCAGCACCCCACGGAGACCCGGGAATTCGGGTGCTCGCTCAGCACCCCACGGAGACCCGGGAATTCGGGTGCTCGCTCAGCACCCCACGGAGACCCGGGAATTCGGGTGCTCGCTCAGCACCCCACGGAGACCCGGGAATTCGGGTGCTCGCTCAGCACCCCACGGAGACCCGGGAATTCGGGTGCTCGCTCAGCACCCCACGGAGACCCGGGAATTCGGGTGCTCGCTCAGCACCCCACGGAGACCCGGGAATTCGGGTGCTCGCTCAGCACCCCACGGAGACCCGGGAATTCGGGTGCTCGCTCAGCACCCCACGGAGACCCGGGAATTCGGGTGCTCGCTCAGCACCCCACGGAGACCCGGGAATTCGGGTGCTCGCTCAGCACCCCACGGAGACCCGGGAATTCGGGTGCTCGCTCAGCACCCCACGGAGACCCGGGAATTCGGGTGCTCGCTCAGCACCCCACGGAGACCCGGGAATTCGGGTGCTCGCTCAGCACCCCACGGAGACCCGGGAATTCGGGTGCTCGCTCAGCACCCCACGGAGACCCGGGAATTCGGGTGCTCGCTCAGCACCCCACGGAGACCCGGGAATTCGGGTGCTCGCTCAGCACCCCACGGAGACCCGGGAATTCGGGTGCTCGCTCAGCACCCCACAGAGACCCAGGAATTCGGGTGCCCTTACCGTGACGTAGGTGACGTGTATCTCGGTGCTGGGCATCTCCTGGGGGTGCGGATGTCGCCTCAGCGCCCTAAACCAGCGCCGGTACTGCTCCATCACCTGCGGAGGGCACCCACCGTTGCGTCCCGAGCGTCCCCGTCCCTTTCCACGCCTCCCATGCCCAGTCCCGTGTCGTGTCCCCGCCCCCGCCGTGGTACCTGCCGGTTGAGGATGCAGTGCACGAGGAAGATGAAGGCTCCCTGCAAGCTGTTGATGATGGTGAAGATGAAGGCCACCACGGTGTTGTCCCCCTGCCCCCGCAGCAAGCCCAGACCCCACGTGCAGCCGAGGATGATAATGTGCGCCAGCGCCTTGAACGCCATCACCCTGACGGAAAACTTGTTTCGCTCACCCCGTCCCGGATTCGCCTTCTCCTCCCCCCTCCCAAAAAAACCACCGGCACTTTAGACGCCGCTGCCAAAAACCCACCGGTTTTTTTTTACGGCCGTGACATCGGCG